ACGACCAGGAATTCGACTTTCCCAAAGCAGATCCTTTGTTTGCTCTCACCAGGGCAATTTAACTGATTCCAAGGGCTGACACAAAACATTGCTGGCGGAGGAGAGGCACTCAGAGCGGCCTGGTGGTTCAACTTAGTAGGCGCGCACACCACCCACCGCTTCCAAGTATACTACTCGCTAATGTTCAGTCTTTGGATAACAAGGTCGACGAGCTCAAGGCAAGGATTTCTTTCCAGAGAGACATCAGGGCCTGTAACATACTTTGTTTCACGGAAACATGGCTCTCTGGGGATATTCTGTCGAAATTGGTCCAGCCAGATGGGTTCTCAGTTCATTGTGCAGAAAGAAAGAAATATCTCTCCGGGAAGCAGAGGGCGGAGGTGTGTGTTTCATGATTAACGACTCATTGTGTAATTGTAGTAACATACAGGAACTCAAGTCCTTTTGTTCACCCGACCTAGAATACCTCACAATCAAATGCCGACCGTATTATCTCCAAAGATAATTTTCTTCGGTTATAGTCACTGCCGTGTATATCCCCCCCTCAAGCCGATACCACGACAGCCCTCAAAGAACTTCACTGGACTTTATGCAAACTGGAAACCACATATCCTGAGGCTGCATTTATTGTAGCCGGGGATTTTAACAAAGCAAATTTGAGGACTAGGCTGCCGAAGTTCTATCAACATATCGGCTGTTGTACTCAGGCTGCCAAAATTCTCTACCATTGCTATTCGAACTTCCGGGATGGTTGTAAGGCCCTCTCCCCCCCACCCTCCTTTCAGCAAATCTGACCACGACTCAATTTTGCTCCTCCCTTCCTATAGGCAAAAACTCAAACAGGAAGTACCCATGCTAAGGACTATTCAACGCTGGTCTGACCAATCGGAATCCATGCTTCAAGAATGTTCCAGGTAGCTTGCGAAAATAATTTAGACGAATACACTGAAACGGTGACTGAGTATATCAGGAAGTGTATAGGTGATGTTGTGCCCACTGTGACTATTAAAACCTACCCTAACCAGAAACAGTGGATAGATGGCAGCATTCGCGCAAAACTGAAAGCGCGAACCACCTCATTTAACCATGGCAAGGTGACTGGGAATATGGCTGAATACAAACAGTGTAGCTATCACTTCGCAAGGCAATTAAACTGGCAAAAACATCAGTATAAAGACAAAGTGGAGTCGCAATTCAACGGCTCAGACACGAGACGTATGTGGCAGGGTCTACAGACAATCACAGACTACAAAAGGAAAACCAGTCACGTCGCTGACACCGACGTCTCGCTTCCAGACAAGCTTAACACCTTCTTGTCCCGTTTTGAGGATAACACAGTGCCACCGACGAGTCCCACTACCAAGGACTGTGGCCTCTCCTTCTCCGTGGCCGACGTGAGTAAGACGTTTAAGCATGTTAACCCCCGCAAGGCTGCCGGCCCAGACGGCATCCCTAGCCGCGTCCTCAGAGCATGCGCAGACCAGCTGGCTGGTGTGTTTACGGACATATTCAATCTCTTACGGACATATTCAATCTCTCTCTGTTTCTGTACCCAAGAAAGCAAAGGTAAATGAACTAAATGACTATCGCCCCGTAGCACTCACCTCTGTCATCGTGAAGTGCTTTGAGAGACTAGTCAAGGATCATATCACCTCTACCTTACCTGTCACCCTAGACCCACTTCAATTTGCTTACCGCCCCAATAGATCCACAGACGATGCAATCACCATCACACTGCCCTATCCCATCTGGACAAGAGGAATACCTATGTAAGAATGCTGTTCATTGACTGTAGCTCAGCATTCAACACCATAGTACCCTCCAAGCTCATCGTTAACCTCGAGGCCCTGGGTCTGAAACCCGCCCTATGCAACTGGGTCCTGGACTTCCTGATGGGCCGCCCCCAGGTGGTGAAGATAGGAAACAACATCTCCACTTCGCTGATACTCAACATTGGGGCCCCACAACGGTGCGTGCTCAACCCCCTCCTGTACTCCCTGTTCACCCATGACTGCGTGGCCAAGCACGCCTCCAACTCAATCATCAAGTTTGCAGACGACACAACAGTAGTAGGCTTGATTACCAACAATGACGAGACGGCCTACAGGGAGGTGGTGAGGGCTCTGGGAGTGTGGTGCCAGGAAGATTACCTCTCACTCAACGTCAACAAAACAAAGGAGATGATCATGGACTTCAGGAAACAGCAGAGGGTGCACCCCCCTATCCACATCGACGGGATTGCAGTCGAGAAGGTGGAAAGCTTCAAGTTCCTTGGTGTACACATCACTGACAAACTGAAATGTTATACCCATGCAGACAGTGTTGTGAAGAAGGTGCAACAGAGCCTCTTCAACCTCAGGATGCTGAATAAATTTGGCTTGGCACCTAAAACCCTCACAAACTTTTACAGGTACGGCAACTGCACCGCCCGCAACCGCAGGGATCTCCAGAGGATGGTGCGGTCTGCTGAACGCATTACCGCGGGCAAACTACCCACCCTCCAGGACACCTACAGCACCCGATGTCACAGGAAGGCCAAAAATATCATCAAGGACATCAACCACCCGAGCCACTGCCTGTTCACCCCGCTATCATCCAGAAGGCGAGGTCAGTACAGGTGCATCATAGCTGGGACCGATAGAATTAAAAACAGCTTCTATCTCAAGGCCATCACTGTTAAATAGCAATCACTAGCACATTAGAGGCTGCTGCTGCCAATTGAAATCACTGGCCACTTTAAGAAATGGAACACTAGTCACTTGAATAATGTTTAGATATCTTGCATTACTCATCTCATATGTATATACTGTATTCTATAATATTCTATTGTATCTTAGTCCATGCCACTCTGTCATTGCTTGTCCATATATGTATATATTCTTAATTCCATTCCTTACTTAGATTTGTGTGCATTTACATCATTTAGCAGACGCTCTTATCTAGAGCGACTTACAAATTGGTGTATTGGGTATATGTTGTGAAATCGTTATATATCACTGCACTGTTGGAGCTAGAAGCACAAGTATTTCGCTACACCCGCACTAACATCTGCTAAACACGTGTATGTGACAAATAAAAATTGCTTTGAAGTTGTATTGTTGCATTTACAGTGAATGGAATGTTGGAAGTGATGTCACAATGGGGAGATTTAGAATGTTGAGGAAAACACATGTAAGTGGATGGAGGACAAAAAGGACAGAACATGTATAACTTAAAACGTTTAAAAGATATCGAAAAGTTGTATACAATGAACTCAATGCAGACAATCCGCACGTTTTAAAGTTTGAACAGTGTTTCTAGCTTAAACGGTGTAAGAGGAGTAGGGTGCTAAAGAATAATAACAAGTCTGAAGTATGACGATGATTTAATTAATAGTTGGGACCAAGTCCCACCTAATAATAATACTCATATTAATAATAATACTCATATTATTATTATTATTATTATTATGTAAGAAAGCTAGAGTTGTGCTTTGCCTTCAGCAAGCACACCTAATAAAAACAATCCAAAACACAGGACATAGAACACAAACAAAGCTATATAGAGGTGTTGTCAGATCCGGTTGACAGAAGAACAGAATTAGCAGAGGTCCTTGAAAGCTTTTCTGAACAGCACGTGTCTCTTGCGGTGCTCTCAGCCGTGTCAGAGTAGCGGTGGCAAACGAGGTCAGGGGAAATCAGCTGGCATGTGGGCCAGAGAGAGAGTCTACACAACGTTAAAACAGCCATCGATAGTCTGAATGTGTGTGTGTATATGTGTGTTGGTGTGTGTTTGAGAAAAGTCATTACAATCAGCCCCACCTAGCACAGAGGCTTTACCGAGCAGCAACATGGGGAGTCTGTCCATCTGTCTGTCTCTGTGCGTGCACGCGCGCGCATGCGTGTCCCAGGGCAACATGGGGAGTCCACTCATGGACTACGGATTTAGCAAATTAAAACAAATGCCAGTGTGAAATCATGCTAGTAATCCACTAGAACTGAGTGTTGCACTGTTCCATCAACGGTTATTGTTCATAACATTGAACACTCAAACAGACCAGAACAATAATATAAAAAACGACTTTGTGCAAGATTGTAATGGATCATAATATTGCAACTATATATAATAAATTATTCTAATTCCTCACAATATTCTTTCAATAATGAACTGGCAAAATGTTAATGTTCATATCAAAACAATAAAAAACTAATACATTTAAGAGGTGGTGGTGGATGATTTAGGATTCCACCATGTCTCACACACTCACTCACACATGCACTCACACAGTTGCCTGACTACAGACACACTGAGCTTCACTATGCTAGGAGCTAACATCCCTGCCACTCTACACAAGCACACAAACACACACGTTATGTTCTTCTATCCTCGTGTGGATCTAAAATGTATTTCCATTCAAAATGCTATTTTCCCTAACCCCTAACCCTTACCCTTACCATAACCCTAATTGTAACCCTAACCCTAAACCTAACCGCTAAGCTTAAAATAGCCTTTGTCCTCTTGGGGAAGGGGAAAATGTCCCCATGAGGGAGTATTGTCCTTGTTTCACTATCCTTGTGGGGACTTTGGTGGATTTCAGGTCCCCATAAGGATAGAAGAACCAACACAAACACACACACACCTCAAATTACAGATATTTATTCATCCTCTGATGGTGGGTAGAGCAGAAATGTCATAATCGCAGACCGACATTTAATGACTGACTAGACTAACATGGAATTGCTGGCAGCAGTTTGGTAAAAATGAAAACCAATGCACTGTTGTGTTTGTGGTGAGAAAGACTCAATAGTGTTGGAAGAATTGAACTTGAAAATGTGAAATGAAATAAAAATGTACATTTGTGAACATGGATGCTTTAGAACCTGAACAAGAACAGTAAACAGAAGCTGAAAATAGTTGCTGAAAGGATCCTGTGGATTTAAAGAGGGGTTTCCCCCATCTTCTTTCTCTCCACCTCTCCTTTTCTTATTTCTCCCTTGCCTGAGAGGGAGGCTCAATTTACCTGTGAAGCCCATTAGAACTCCCTCCCTTGCCTGCTGTCGTAGACCCTCTCCGTCCTTGTAGTCTATGTAGACCAGGTCTATGGCTTGTAGACCGAAGGCCTTGGTTGTCACTACCACCTTCTGACGGGCATACATCAGCTCCCTGGCATCTTTGGTCCGTGTGGCACCTGGACGGAGGGAGACAAAGGTAACTATATACAGTGGGAAGAACAAGTATTTGATACACTGCCGATTTTGCAGGTTTTCCTACTTACAAAGCATGTAGAGGTCTGTAATTTTTTATCATAGGTACATTTCAACTGTGAGAGACGGAATCTAAAACAAAAATCCAGAAAATCACATTGTATGATTTTTAAGTAATTAATTTGCATTTTATTGCATAACATAAGTATTTGATCACCTACCAACCAGTAAGAATTCCGGCTCTCACAGACCTGTTAGTTTTTCTTTAAGAAGCCCTCCTGTTCTCCACTCATTACCTGTATTAACTGCACCTGTTTGAACACGTTACCTGTATAAAAGACACCTGTCCACGCACTCAATCAAACAGACTTCAACCTCTCCACAATGGCCAAGACCAGAGAGCTGTGTAAGGACATCAGGGATAAAATTGTAGACCTGTACAAGGCTGGGATGGGCTACAGGACAATAGGCAAGCAGCTTGGTGAGAAGGCAACAACTGTTGGCGCAATTATTAGAAAATGGAAGAAGTTCAAGATGACGGTCAATCAACCTCGGTCTGGGGCTCCATGCAAGACCTCACCTCGTGGGGCATCAATGATCATGAGGTAGGTGAGGGATCAGCCCAGGACTACACGGCAGGACCTGGTCAATGACCTGAAGAGAGCTGGGACCACAGTCTCAAAGAAAACCATTAGTAACACACTACGCCGTCATGGATTAAAATCCTGCAGCGCACGCAAGGTCCCCCTGCTCAAGCCAGCGCTTGTCCAGGCCCGTCTGAAGTTTGCCAATGACCATCTGGATGATCCAGAGGAGGAATGGGAGAAGGTCATGTGGTCTGATGAGACAAAAATAGAGCATTTTGGTCTAAACTCCACTCGCCGTGTTTGGAGGAAGAAGAAGGACGAGTACAACCCCAAGAACACCATCCCAACCGTGAAGCATGGAGGTGGAAACATCATTCTTTGGGGATGCTTTTCTGCAAAGGGGACAGGACGACTGCACCGTATTGAGGGGAGGATGGATGGGGCCATGTATCGCGAGATCTTGGCCAACAACCTCCTTCCCTCAGTAAGAGCATTGAAGATGGGTCTTGGCTGGTTCTTCCAGCATGACAATGACCCGAAACACACAGCCAGGGCAACTAAGGAGTGGCTCCGTAAGAAGCATCTCAAGGTCCTGGAGTGGCCTAGCCAGTCTCCAGACCTGAACCCAATAGAAAATCTTTGGAGGGAGCTGAAAGTCCATTTGCCCAGCGACAGCCCCGAAACCTGAAGGATCTGGAGAAGTTCTGTATGGAGGAGTGGGCCAAAATCCCTGCTGCAGTGTGTGCAAACCTGGTCAAGACCTACAGGAAACGTATGATCTCTGTAATTGCAAACAAAGGTTTCTGTGCCAAATATTAAGTTCTGCTTTTCTGATGTATCAAATACTTATGTCATGCAATAAAATGCAAATTAATTACTTAAAAATCATACAATGTGATTTTCTGGAGTTTTGTTTTAGATTCCGTCTCTCACAGTTGAAGTGTACCTATGATAAAAATTACAGACCTCTACATGCTTTGTAAGTAGGAAAACCTGCAAAATTGGCAGTGTATCAAACACTTGTTCTCCCCACTGTATTTAATATACAGTGCTATGAAAAAGTATTTGCCCCCTTTCTAATTGTCTCTACTTTTGAATATTTGTGATACTGAATGTTATCAGATCTTCAACCAAAACCAAATATTAGATAAAGGAAACATAAGTGAACAAATAACACAACAATTACATATTTATTTCATAAACAAAGTTATGCAACACCCAATTCGCCTGTGTGAAAAAGTAATTGTCCCCTTACACTCAATAACTGGTTGTGCCACCTTTAGCTGCAATGACTCCAACCAAATGCTTCCTGTAGTTGTTGATCAGTCTCTCACGTCGCTGTTCATGCTTGAAAACCCACACGTCACTGAGTTAAAGCAGTTCTGCATGGAAGAGTGGGCCAAAATTCCTCCACAGCGACGTGAGAGACTGATCAACAACTACAGGAAGCATTTGGTTGGAGTCATTGCAGCTAAAGGTGGCACAACCAGTTATTGAGTGTAAGGGGACAATTACTTTTTCACACAGGGGAATTGGGTGTTGCATAACTTTGTTTATGAAATAAATATGTAATTGTTGTGTTATTTGTTCACTTATGTTTCCTTTATCTAATATTTGGTTTTGGTTGAAGATCTGATAACATTCAGTATCACAAATATGCAAAAGTAGAGAAAATTAGAAAGGGGACAAATACTTTTTCATAGCACTGTATAGTATAACATATGCCATTTAGCAGACACTTTTATCCAAAGTGGCTTACAGGAATATACACAGGAAAATATACCTGTGAGCAAATAGACACACAGGTTTACCATACATGCAAATAGGCAGATACTGAGTATACAAAACATTTAGAACACCTGCCCTTTCCATGACATAGACTGACCAGGTGAATCACTTGTTAAATCCACTTCAAATCAGTGTAGATGGAGGGGAGGAAACAGGTTAAAGAATGATTTGTAAGCCTGGAGACAATTGAGACATGGATTGTGTGTGTGCCATTCAGAGGGTGAATGGGCAAGACAAAAAATGTAAGTGCCTTTGAACGGGGTATGGTAGTAGGTGCCAGGCACACCGGTTTGTGTCAAGAACTGCAGTTTCCCGTGTGTATCAAGAATGGTCCACCACCCAAAGGACATCCAGCCAACTTCACAAGTGTGGGAAGCATTGGAGTCAACATCTCTGTGTAATGCTTTCGACATCTGTATTGAGGCCATTCTGAGGGCAAAAGGGGGGGTTCAACTCAATATTAGGAAGATGTTCCTAATGTTTGGTATACTCAGTATATATGGAAAGAGAAGGATAAGTGAGAATGGAGTGAGAAGTGGGTGGGATGAGGAGAAAGAGAATAACAGTCCATGGGCCAGCGGGGTCAGTCAGGTTCACTTGGGGTGACGATGTTTCATAGTGATTTTCTTGAAAGTCTAATTGGTGCTTTCAAGACAACTGGGAACTCTGGGAAAAAAACGAGGCCAAATCATGACGTCAGTGATCTTCAGGTCGGAAAGTCGGAGCTCTAGAAAGATGCCAGAGTTTCTGACCTGGAATTCTGAGTTGGATGACCGTTCAAAACGAGTCCTGAGTTCCCAGTTGTCTTGAATGCACTGAAGTCGGAAGTCAAGAGTTCCCAGTTCCCAGTTGTTATGAATGAGGCATTAGTCCCTAGAGTCGGAAAATGTGTGATAGCAGTGCAGCAATGGCAGATTTCTCTGTTATCACTCTTTCATCCCTCCATCCCATGTATTTTTCCCATAGGGATTTTACACTATGACAAACAATATCAGTATACAACAAGTTCCCTTTTAGTCAGTCAACTTCGGCACAAGATACTATTGGGAGTCGCACTCTCGTGACTTCGATTGAAGGATCTATATTCATGCCTGAGAAAGCCAATGAAATACGCGCCTCGCTGGAAGCCCCGCCTTACACAGGTGATAAGCGTGAGGCTCAGATTCATTCCGTCACTTATTCCGCTCTTCACCTCGGTGTGAAGAGGAAGGATTCACGCCACAAACAATTGGAACACGAAACTGTCTTACGCTGCGCCAACTAAACTGTCCCTTAGTGGTAGAGCGTGCCCCAAGGAATTAAAAGATACTCACGTTTGTTGTCTTGTATGTCTCGGCGCATGCTCAGGCTGCCCTTGCTCAAATCAGTTTGTGTGCGAGACTAGGGGATGGCTGGCACTGTTCTCCTACTAATCTGTGGCGCAGAGCCTCTTGGAGGCTCGCTTTCTGATGCCATCTCAGCGCATTCTGTTTCCGGGTTTTGAGTGTGCAAAGCTGTCATCAAGGCAAAGGGTGGCTACTTTGAAGAATCTAAAATCTAAAATATACTTTTTGGGTTACTACATGATTCCATATGTGTTATTTCATAGTTTTGATGTCTTCACTATTATTCTACAATGTAGAAAATAGTAAAAATTAAGAAAAACCCTGGAATGAGTAGGTGTGTCCAAACGTTTGACTGGTACTGTGTATATATACACACTGAACAAAAATATAAACGCAACATGCAACAATTTCAATTATTTTACTGAGTTACAGTTCATATAAGGAAATTAGTCAATTTAAATAAATTCATTAGGACCTAATCTATGGATTTCACATGACTGGGCAGGGGCACAGCTATGGGTGGGCATAGGCTCACCCACTGGGGAGCCAGGCCCAGCCAATCAGAATGAGTTTTTCCCCACAAAAGGGCTTTATTACAGACAGAAACACTCCTCAGTTTTATCAGCTGTCTGGGTGGCTCGTCTCAGATGATCCCGCAGGTGAAGAAGCCGAATGTGGAGGTCCTGGGCTGCGGTAGTGAGGCCATTTGGACGTACTGCCAAATTCTCTAAAATGACGTTGGTAGAGAAATGAACATTAAATTATCTGGCAACAGCTCTGGTGGACATTCCTGCAGTCAGCATGCCAATTACATGCTCACTCAAAACTTGCGACATCTGTGGCATTGTGTTCTGTGACAAAACTGCACATTTTAGAGTGACCTTTTATTGTCCCCAGCACAAGGTGCACCTGTATAATGATCATGCTGTTTATCCATCTTCTTGATATACCACACCTGTCATGTGGATGGATTATCTTGGCAAAGGAGAAATGCTCACTAACAGGGATGTAAACAAATTTGTGCATAACACTGCAGAGAAATAAGCTTTTTGTGTATATGGAACATTTCTTGGATCTTTTATTTCAGCTAATGAAAAAAGGAAACAAGGCTTTCCATGTTGCGTTTATATTTTTGTTCAGTATATATACAGTGCATTCGGAAAGTATTCAGACCCCTTTACTTTTTCCACATTTTGTTACGTTACAGCCTTATTCTACAATGGATTAAATCATTTTTCACCTCATAAATCTACAGTAGTGGTCAAAGGTTTTGAGAATGACACAAATACTAATTTTCACAAAGTCTGCTGCCTCAGTTTTGATGATGGCAATTTGCATATACTCCAGAATGTCATGAAGAGTGATCAGATGAATTGCAATTAATTGCAAAGTCTCTCTTTGCCATGAAAATTCACTTAATCCCCCCAAAACATTTCCACTGCATTTCAGCCCTGCCACAAAAGGACCAGCTGCCATAATGTCAGTGATTCTCTCGTTAATCGTTAACACAGGTGAGAGTGTTGACGAGGACAAGGCTGGAGAGTTAGAATAACAGACTGGAAGCTTTAAAAGGAGGATGGTGTTTGAAATCATTGTTCTTCCTCTGTTAACCATGGTTACCTGCAAGGAAACACGTGCCGTCATCATTGCTTTGCACAAAAAGGGCTTCACAAGCAAGGATATTGCTGCTAGTAAGATTGCACCTAAATCTTACTAAATGGTGGTGGCATCATCATGCTGTGGGGATGTTTTTCAGCGGCAGGGACTGGGAGACCAGTCAGGATCGAGGGAAAGATGAACGGAGCAAAGTACAGAGAGATCGTTGATGAAAACCTGTTCCAGAGTGCTCAGGACCTCAGACTGGGGCAAAGGTATTCACCTTCCAATTGGACAATGACCCTAAGCACACAGCCAAGAAAACGCAGGAGTGGCTTCGGGGCAAATCTCTGAATGTCCTTGAGTGGCCTAGCCAGAGCCCGGACTTGAACCCAATCGAACATCTCTGGAGAGACCTGAAAATAGCTGTGCAGTGACGCTCCCCATCCAACCTGACAGAGCTTGAGAGGATCTGCAGAGAAGAATGCGAGAAACTCCCCAAATACAGGTTTGCCAAGCCTGTAGCGTCATACCCAAGAAGACTTGAGGCTGTAATCACTGCCAATGGTGCTTCAACAAAGTACTGAGTAAAGGGTCTGAATACTTATGTAAATGTGATATTTCCATATTTGTTTGCAAAAAATAAATAAACTGTTTTTGCTTTGTCATTATGGGGTATTGTGTGTAAATTGATGAGAAAAAACAAACAATGTAATCCATTTTAGAATAAGGCTGTAACGTAACAAAATGTGGAAAAAGTCAAGGGGTCTGAATATTTTCAGAATGCACTGTATAAACTGGAAACTGATCACAAGCATGCAGGGAAAATCTGTTTGAAATCCGTTTGACTGTGATTCTGGCTCAGTTGACATGCTGGTAAATGAAATCGAACAGCTGATCGAGTTGTCATGTGACCGGATGCTGCAGACAAGGCATTCACGGGTCACTATGGAGGAGTTTTTGTTCCTTACTCAAAGGGAATACTGTGCAGTCTTCCTCCGAGCATTAAAACTCTGCTGATTCAGTGCTCTCGTCTGCATTCAAAACAAATATCGATCCAGGTTGGATGTGACAGGAGAGATGAGGTGCACACTGTCGACCACGCCCCCTGACTTTGAAAAGCTCAGACGCGATATGCATCAAGCACACCCATCTCATTAGTGGTGGTGAGATAAGAGAAATAATGTCAGACTCATTTTCAATTGACTGTCATAGCCCCACATTAAAATCATATTATGGTGAGTTGAGAATACAATCAGAAATACTGTTAGAATGTTTTGCAATTGACTGCCATAGCTCCAATTAAAAAAGTAAACATTGGCTGTTAATTACCAAAATATGTTTTCACATGGTTGGGGTCGTGAGAATTTTCAGATATCAAAATGGGGTCGTGGGCCAAGAAAGTTTGGGAACCCCTGTCTTAGAGACTTACCCAGAAATATTCACAGCTGTAATCACTGCCAAAGGTGATTCTACAAAGTATTTACTCAGGGGTGTGAATACATATGTAAATGAGATATTTATGTACTTCATTTTCAATAAATTTGCAAAAATTTCTAAAAATGTTTTCACTTTGTCATTATGGGGTATTGTGAGTAGATTGATGAGTTTTTTGTATTTAATGTAACAACAGTTCTGTTGACCTGAATATTCAGAAAATTTGTCTGATGGATAGCTGTGAATCTAAGCCTTCCAATTGTATGATTAAAGGGTATAGGTAAGCAATAACTTGTTGTATACTGATATATATATATATATATATTTTTTTTTTTTTCAAGGGGGTAGATCTGCTTTATTATTGCATATAGATTGTAACTTCCATCAATGTAATTGTCTGCATCACTTCCAATTCCCCATGTTTTTTTTGTTTTTTTCTCGCATATATATATGGACACAGCATGTCTTACACTAGTTATCTTGTTGTTATTAGTTGTTGTTATTAGTCCCATCCTTCAGCTCCATTCAACACCTCCCATCTATCTCTTAACACCATCCATATTGGATTTCTATTTGCCATATATTTTTCAACTGTACAGTGATGTTTTACAAAAGTTCTGAACCTTTCTATTCTCATTGTTTCTACAGTTGTGAATTGAAAATAAACATTTTTGCTAAAAGTATTATTATATTATTGATCGATTGACTATGACTTTTCAGATCACACAGTAGTGCTATCTGCAGGGTCAGCTCCACTAATTTCAATGGAACAATTCTAAGTTTTGAATCCGGCTTCGTTTTGCGTATCAATTCATTAACAATATGCCATGGAATCGGTACGTCAAAAATCTCTTCCCAACTATTTTGCAATCTATATGGGACGGCTGTCAATCTTTTGGTCCTTAAATTAAACTGGTAAACTTTTTTATTTATCACAATTTTCTTTAACCAATTATGTTCTTTAATGCAAGGCCGACAGACAAGTTCCTTACTTTTTCCTCCTTCCACATTCCTCTTCCATTTTTGCGTTAATGCTGCAATTATTTGGTTGTAATTTTGTGTAGAGCAGACATTTCCATATGTTTTTGTTAGCTGCATGTGCGACATAACTCCACCATTCCTACCGATAATATAATTTACGAAGATTAAACCATTTTTTTTCTCAAAAAATAACGTTTTTATATCAATTAGTATATTTCACTTTAACCACAATATTTGTTGCAATATTTGTTCTGTCATTTCTGGAGGATTAAATTGAAATTGCAACAACTTTCTATGGTTTGTTTTAGAAATAGTGATACGTGGGAGTTGATTTCCTTTTCAAATACCTGAAAGTGAGGGGTTGTAATCTGAATAAAGGGAAAAAGTCCCTTCTTGAGCATTGGGTGAGACAATCTTAGTAGTTTGCTAGAGAACAAGTTCGGATTTAAGTATAATTTTTGTATGACTGAAGCTTTTAGTGATAGGTCTAATGCTTTAATATTTAATAATTTCTGTCCTCCTAATTCATATTCATTATATAAATAGGCCCGTTTAATTTTGACTGGCTTGCTGTTCCAAATAAAATGGAATATTTTCTTCTCATATAGTGTAAAAAACTGTTCGCTAGGCATAGGCAAGACCATAAGCAAATAGGTCAACTGGGATAATACTAAAGAGTTAATCAGGGTGATTTTTCCACAAATTGACAGGTATTTACCTTTCCATGGTAGCAAGAACTTATCTATTTTTGCTAACTTTCTATTAAAATGTTTTGGAGTGAGATCATTTATTTCATTTGAGATATGTATTCCGAGTATATCCACATCACCATCAGACCATTTTATTGGTAAACTACATGGTAATGTAAAAATTGTATTTCTTTAGTGATCCAATACGTAATATAGTACATTTATCATAATTTGGTTGTAATCCAGAGAGGTTAGAAAATGTATCTAGATCCTCTATGCGGCTGTGGAGGGATTCAAGTTGTGGATTTAAAAGAAAACATGAATCATCAGCGTACAATGACACCTTTGTTTTTAAGCCCTGGATTTCTAATACTGATATTGTTTGTCATAGGGTAAACTCCCTATGGGAGAAATGAATGGGATGGAGGGATGAAAGAGTGATAACAGAGAAAGCTGCCATTGCTGCACTGCTATCAAACATTTTCCGACTCTAGGGACATAGATCTGCAAGAAAATCACTTTGAGACATCGTCACCCCAAGTGAGCCCGACGACCCAAATTGCGGGGTCTGGCCCAAGAACTACAAGAGGAGGAGAGACAAGGAATGGACAAGTGAGATAAGAGAGAGAAGGGGGTGATAGAAAAGGAGAGAGGTGGAGAGAAGGGGCTGAGGGGACAGAGAAAAGGAGAGAGTGAAGGGAGGACGGGACAGAGAACAGGACATAGAAGGAGAGGAGAGGTGGTGATAAAAGGATTGATTGTAGGTGAGAGGCGAGAGGAAGAGAGGACAGAGGACCTATGCTGGCACAGAAGTCATCCGATCCAAACACTACACCGTCATGGTGTAGGCCAACTGCAGGAGCCAGACGACGTACTTCCTCACACACAACCTGAGGGAACACACAACAAAGACAGAGATGAGTGTGTTTGTGTGTGTATGTGGAGCTAAGGAAAGTGTGAACCCTGTCAACTCACCCTGTCAAGCAGCTCATGTTTCCCATTCAGACCTGCACTTACAATCTCCACTATCTATTGTAACACGAACGCGCTCACGCACACTCACACACACATCTTGTGTCTCTGTCTTAGACACTGTCCCCTCCTAAGAAGACTGTGTGAAGCTGGGACTACCACACGACAAGAGGAGAGAGGGGGAAAAGGCCTAGGAATGTTATCATCTATTGTGTTAGCCATGGAGCGGTCGGAATGTGTCTGCTGCTTTTGTCGGCGTCCAAATTAATTTAACTTCTCGCTGTGACACAGCCATACTTCCCTTTTCCATCCCAGGGAATCAGTCTGGCTAAGGATACAGAATGTTCTCCAGAAGGAAAACACTCACACACGCATGCAGACACACACAGGCGTGCATGCACGTATGCAAGCACGCACACACACACACACACACATAATTGGGTGAAAGAGAAAAAGAAAAGAAAGAGGACAGCGTGTTACCCCACCAAAATCCCCCAAACCGTGCCCTTTCCCATCGCCGGTGAAGGTCGGCCCAAACTAAAACCAGACCCACTTTGATGCCTGCCAACAAAATCATTAAAAAACGACACAAATTAGATCACATTAAAACATGTCAAAGAGAGTGTCTGGATGAGGGGAAAAACTCAGAAGAGACCCAATACAAAATGTAAGCTGCAAGCAGCATTGCTGCGGTTTAGCTGTGTGCCCACTGTGTCACCATCAGGACAAATTGGACACATTGCCCCAGGACGAGATACTTCTGTACTGTTTACCACTTTTGCCAAATATCAGAACTCAACATCAAACAGGTCATTATTATGCTTTTGAGGTATTTTGGAACATTTTCAATAATGTTGACTACTTTAAACGTCTTCTTCTCCAGGACCACTGGACCGATTGGCACCAAATTTTTATACATCATCTATGTACCCACGTCTTTAAAAGCAACATTTTCCAGGACTCTAACTCAAACAATATGGCTGCAATGAGTCAATGAGCTTGCATGAATGGTTTTTAATGTCTAACAGTGCCACCATACAGCAAAACTGGACCATATTTTACAGGTTAGCTAGACCCATAACACTGAGCATGTGTGCCAAATTTCATCACTCCGAGTCAAACAGATTAAGAGATATAAACATGTGCCTGTTATAGCGCCACCGTAGTCAATTTGAATGTTTTTGAATATGTTGAGTCTTCACAGTATTTGGAACATGTGTACTAAGTTTTGTTACAATACGAATATCCGTGATTGATTTATATGCATTTATTGGTCGTTTTAGGTACTAGTGTGGAAAATGTTGCATTGGGAGAACTTTGTCCATAGATGCCACATGTTAAGTTTTGCATAGTTCGGTCATTCAGTGCCAGGGGAGTAGCGTTTTAAGTGTTTTTCACAAAATTCTAAATGGCGGAGAATCCATCATGGTGGACCTCATGGGTCCTAGAGGCAAATTTGTTAGTTGTGAGAGAAGGACCTATGTACTGAATTTCATGACTTTAGGTCAAACGGGGTGAGGGGCGTGACTTTTAAAACTTTACATGTTAAATTGATTGCTATAGCGCCACCATGTGGCATGAGAGGGTCTGGCACTTTACCATCATGCCTGAGCCAGAAGAAACACAAAAGAGTTTAGACAGCTTTGCTGCTTGAACCCTTGAGAGAGAGATGTAGAGAGACTGTCCGGACGCTTTTAATCTCTCGTATTTGGACAGTGACACTTGGCGAGCTGCGCTGTCTGACACCGGCTTTAATAAAAAGTGAATGAGGTAGTAAAACATCTGACGCAGGCATTTCCTGGTGGTTTTGTTTGTAATTTACCTTAAAATTGAGCAGGCCCACAGCGGTTTCCACAAAGGTGACCAGGCGAATGGGCTCCGTCAGAGCTCGTCCATTCAAGTGGTGCTGAAACCTGTCAACAAACTGTCACACACACACACGAAAGCCGCATACACACACACACAACCACACACACACACACACAGAAATTATGACTATTGCTTATCTGAATAATGAAAGCACATATGACATCACAATACACAATTTTCTAGTGATGCCATTGCTCTCAAGAAGAGAGACAGCCACAGCATACACATACAGCACAGTCACAATACATGGTCAAACGTTATAAGAGGGTAAGCTAGAGGTATCATCATTTTGTTCATGTATGCATTAAGTAAAATGTACATGTAAACCATTAACTAAGATCTAAAATCAAAACTGGCTTTATAAGTGGATTTATCTAATCTTATGGTGGAAAAGTTAATATCATCATGTCTATAATCCGTTTATAAGCACACATTGAAATACAACGTAACCCAAATTGTTCAATAACATTAGCATTTTACTCAGGGACAGACACTCAGGGAGTGTAGCCATTAACACAAACCCTGTTATGGACAGAAACATGGGTGGGAAATAGAGATATCAAACTGTTTGTGTCAGAGGGAACTTGCAACCGTGAAAAATATTCAGGATTAAGACTCTTTAAATAATAAAACTGGGGTTTTGCTACAAGAATGTAAGAAGGAGCAATTGTGGGGAGAGAGAGGAACAAAACAACTGTCAATACTGAGTCCCTGCATCATTTCTATTCCTGTACAAAAATACATCAAGTGATCTTTTGGTGGAGAGAGAGCGAGAGAGAGAGAGTGAGAGAGCGCGAGAGAGAGCGCGAGAGAGAGCGAGGCTGTCACGATCGTCTAAAACAGGAGACCAATGCGCAGCGTTGCGAGTGAACATGATATTTATTAAATACGTACTCACGAAAACAAAACAAAAGACGATACGTGAAGTCCTCTGACACCGACAGAACATGGAACAAGGAAACAAAAACCCACAAACACAAGGTGAAACCACACAGTTTAAATATGGCTCCCAATCAGAGATAACGAGCCGACAGCTGTCACTCGTTACCTCCGATTGGGAGTCACATGAATACAAACAAGGAAGACAACCACCTAGACACCCCAACCAAACAGCACACAACAAAACGAACACACCTCATACCCAACCTAGCCCACACAACACCCAACAAAACAAACACACCCTGGTTCTATAACAACGTCCCGGAACCAGAGCGTGACAGTACCCCCCCCTAAAGGTGCGAACCCCGGGCGCACCAGCATACAGTCTAGGGGAGGGTCTGGGTGGGCGTCTGTCCACGGTGGCGGTTCTGCCCCTGGTCGTGGTCCCCATCCCACCTTAGTCACCACCCGCTTCCCTAGCCTCATCCACATTACCACCCCCCAACTACACCCCACTGGGTTAAGGGGCGGCACCGGACTAAGGGGCAGCACCGGACTACGGGGCAGTACCGGACTAAGGGGCAGTACCGGACTAAGGGGCAGTACCAGGCTAAGGGGCAGTACCGGACTAAGGGGCAGTACCGGACTAAGGGGCAGTACCGGACAGAATGGCGGATACTGGCTGGACGGCTTTGGCGGCTCCCGGCTGGACGGCTCTGGCGGATCCCGGCTGGTCGGCTCTGGCGGATCCCGGCTGGACGGCTCTGGCGGATCCCGGCTGGACGGCTCTGGCGGATCCCGGCTGGACGGCTCTGGCGGATCCCGGCTGGACGGCTCTGGCGGATCCCGGCTGGACGGCTCTGGCGGATCCCGGCTGGACGGCTCTGGCGGATCCCGGCTGGACGGCTCATGGCTGGCTGACGGATCTGGCTGCTCATGGCTGGCTGACTGATCTGGCTGCTCATGGCTAGCTGACGGATCTGGCTGCTCATGGCTAGCTGACGGATCTGGCTGCTCATGGCTAGCTGACGGATCTGGCTGCTCATGGCTGGCTGACGGATCTGGCTGCTCATGGCTGGCTGACGGATCTGGCTGCTCATGGCTGGCTGACGGATCTGGCTGCTCATGGCTGGCTGACGGACCTGGCTGCTCATGGCTAGCTGACGGATCTGGCTGCTCATGGCTAGCTGACGGATCTGGCTGCTCCTGTCTGGCAGAAGGCTCTGGCTGCTCCTGTCTGGCAGAAGGCTCTGGCTGATCCTGTCTGGCGGAAGGCTCTGGCTGATCCTGTCTGGCAGAAGGCTCTGGCTGATCCTGTCTGGCAGAAGGCTCTGGCTGATCCTGTCTGGCAGAAGGCTCTGGCTGATCCTGTCTGGCAGAAGGCTCTGGCTGATCCTGTCTGGCGGAAGGCTCTGGCTGATCCTGTCGGGCGGAAGACCCTGGCTGATCCTGTCTGGCGGAAGGCTCTGGCTGATGCCGTCTGGCGGAAGGCTCTGGCTGATCCCGTCTGGCGGAAGGCTCTGGCTGATCCCGTCTGGCGGAAGGCTCTGGCTGATCCTGTCTGGCGGGAGGCTCTGGCTGATCCTGTCTGGCGGGAGGCTCTGGCTGATCCTGTCTGGCGGAAGGCTTTAGCGGCTCCTGTCTGGCGGAAGGCTTTAGCGGCTCTGGTCTGGCGGACGGCTCTGAAGGCTCATGGCAGACGGGCGGCTTAGCAGGCTCAGTACATACGGGCCGTTCATGCAGCGCTTGGCATACGGACAGTTCAGACGGCGTTGGGCAGACGGGCAGTTCAGGCAGTGCTTGGCAGACGGACAGTTCAGACGGCGTTGGGCAGACGGGCAGTTCATGCAGTGCTTGGCAGACGGACAGTTCAGACGGCGTTGGGCAGACGGGCAGTTCTGGCAGTGCTTGGCAAACGGACAGTTCAGACGGCGTTGGGCAGACGGGTAGTTCATGCAGCGCTTGGCATACGGACAGTTCAGACGGCGTTGGGCAGACGGACAGTTCAGGCCCCGTTGGGCAGACGGCAGACTCTGGCCGTCTGAGGCGCATCGTAGGCCTGGTGCGTGGTGCCGGAACAGGAGGGTACCGGGCTGAGGACACGCATCTCAGGGCTAGTGCGGGGAGAAGCAACAGGGCATGCTTGGCCCTGGGGACGCACCGTAGGCCTGATGCGTGGTGCCGGAACTGGAGGTACCGGGCTGAGGACACGCATCTCAGGGCTAGTGCGGAGAGCAACAACAGGACGCACAGGACTCTGGGGACACACAGGAGGCTTGGTGCGTGGTGGAGGCACTGGTGGTACTGGGCTGGAGCGGGGAGGTGGCGCCGGAAATACCGGACCGTGCAGGCGTACTGGCTCCCTTGAGCACTGAGCCTGCCCAACCTTACCTGGTTGTATGCTCCCCGTCGCCCGACCAGTACGGGAAGGAGGAATAACCCGCACCGGGCTATGTAGGCGAACCGGGGAAACCATGCGTAAGGCTGGTGCCATGTATGCTGGCCCGAGGAGACGCACTGGTGGCCTGCTGCGTGGGACCGGCTTCATGACATCCGGCTCAACGCTCAATCTAGCCCGGCCAATACGAGGAGCTGGAATGTACCGCACCGGGCTATGCCTGCGTACAGGAGACACCATGCGCTCTACTGCGTAACATGGTGTCTGCCCGTACTCCCGCTCTCCACGGTAAGTACAGGGAGTAGGCGCAGGTCTCCTACCTGACTTCGCCACACTCCCTTTTTGCCCCCCCCCAAGAAATTCTTGGGTAGTACCCACGGGCTTCCAGCCTCGACTCCGCGCTGCCTCCTCGTACCACCTCCTCTCGGCTGCAGCTGCCTCCAGCTCTTCACGAGGGCGGCGATATTCTCCCGGTTGTGCCCAAGGACCCTTTCCATCCAAAATCTCCTCCCATGTCCATGAATCCTTAGGAGGAGTCCATAACTCCTGTGTAGGTAGGTCCTGTTGCCGCTTGTTACGCTGCTTGGTCCTTTTATGGTGGGCATGTCTGTCACGATCGTCTAAAACAGGAGACCAATGCGCAGCGTTGCGAGTGAACATGATATTTATTAAATACGTACTCACGAAAACAAAACAAAAGACGATACGTGAAGTCCTCTGACACCGACAGAACATGGAACAAGGAAACAAAAACCCACAAACACAAGGTGAAACCACACAGTTTAAATATGGCTCCCAATCAGAGATAACGAGCCGACAGCTGTCACTCGTTACCTCCGATTGGGAGTCACATGAATACAAACAAGGAAGACAACCACCTAGACACCCCAACCAAACAGCACACAACAAAACGAACACACCTCATACCCAACCTAGCCCACACAACACCCAACAAAACAAACACACCCTGGTTCTATAACAACGTCCCGGAACCAGAGCGTGACAGAGGCAGTGCAGAGAGGAGGCGCGTCAAAGCTGAATGAAATTATATTTTACATTATCACCAGGGTTCCCCTTCTTCTGAAGCCTTCTGCACTCTCTCCCCCCTTTTACTACATGATCCACACAAACACAAAAAAATACTAAAGAAATATAAAAAAGACTAAACAAAATTCGGTGACGTCTTTAAGTGTGTTCAATATTATGTAAATGTTGTGTGCCCCACTCGGTGGAAGGGAATAGTGAGATTGGCGCGACAATCAGAGTTGTGATATGACACTTTGCAGGGGCCCTTTATTCTGCATGGTTCCCACTAATATGTAAGCTCACCTAAGATTTTTTTTCCAACAGACGAGTTCACACCGAGCTCTGGACTGCCAGTGGGGTAGCCCCAAATTCCTAAATCTATCATCTGGAAACACACAAAAGCTCCCTCCGTCAGATATTCCCTTCCAAAGCCTGTTAAAAAAGAGAGAGGGAGAGAGATGGAGGGGGAGAAAAGCCCAGTAGAAATCTGTAACGCCATGTCCCCCTCCTCTCTCTCCCACCCTCCCTCTCTCCACCCTCCCTCTCTGATATAAATAAGCCCTGATAAAGTGGTGCTATTTTCCTAAATAAAATACACAAATATCGCCCATGCGCATGCATGCACACACACACAACGCATTCTCAAAAAAACTAAAAGAGTAACGGCTCCATTGAAGGATTTCTCAAATAGGGGCAATTTTAATCATCTCCCCATTCAATCTCAGTTGGTTAAATCATATCGGGGAGATTTGCATAAATACAAACCATCAAAGACTTCTCATCTTCAAAGGGGGTTTTCGAGACCCAATAGGCTTTGTACTGTAATCATCTGAGGTCGCAACCTCACAAGAGACACGTTGCTACGGCAACATAAAAACTAACGCTAGCTGGCTGGGGGCTTAGCACAATATTACCCCATTCCCCTTTTCCCCAAATACACACACAGACACACGCACACACACACAGACACGCACACACACAAAGAGGGTATTTATTTTCATATTTACAGGGTGGACCTTTAGAAAACCATCACAGAGACCCATTTCTGGCCTGTAGACAGACATAGCGCATAGCAAGTCCCCCACTAGATAACACACATAGATTACCCCACTACACTATACAACACAATACAAACTCTCACTGGACTGGGATAATGTGTTGGAGTGATAACAAATTACAGGTTTATTCCCACTGGCTGTAGGGAAGATGGTCAACCCCTCTCTGATTACATCGGATTACATGTTTATGCCCTTTTATTTATGTGGAGAGTATCAAGTCGAACCAGGATACACACTGGTAGTGGTTATCGTGAGTGGGTATTAAAATGTAAAATGCATTAAAGGCACAATCTGGGATAAATGGTCATTTCATTGGTCTCTCAATGATATATACCCATTGAATATTGTAGAATATTACTCATAAATACCTTACGATTTTATCAAAAACCATATAATAAATCCAAAAAAGGTTGAATTACTCATTCTTTATGTTGTCATTTGAGTCTGTAAACAAACCATGTACAATATAGCAGCAACACTATTATGTCAATCTCATGGACTGTCAGTCCTTGCATCAATAGCTCCATTTATTAATTTGAGAGTGGTTGCTTTTTTCAGCCCTTCCTTCTTTAAAACTTTATAGCAAACTAAGTTGCGGGGCTGCCCTCGTGGCGGAAACACAAACTCCATATTGTGGCTTTAGGCACTTGGAAAAAAAGACCATAGAAATCCACTCAATTATCACCATGGCTCTTTTCATGGAGAGTTACTTGTGCCTGTCTATTGTTCCTCTATGGCAGAGAGACTTCTATCGGTTAATAGCACTCAATCCGAGTACCCTTCCAGATATTATTCACTATTGACCAAAAACACCTCTTCAAGCCACAATTCACAACCCTTTCCATCCATAAGAAGAAGAAGAAGAAGAAGAAGAAGAAGAAGAAGAAGAAGAAGAAGAAGAAGAAGAAGAAGAAGAAGAAGAAGAAGAAGAAGAAGAAGAAGAAGAAGAAGAAGAAGAAGAAGAAGAAGAAGAAGAAGAAGAAGAAGAAGAAGAAGAAGAAGAAGAAGAAGAATGGGACAAGTTTCAACTCATTCTCTTCAAAAGGGGCCCAGATTAAATGTTTCCGGCCAGCTGAAGTGTTCATTTCACAGAGGGGAAGGCGAGAAATGGATGAGGGGTGGGAACAAAAAAGAGGTGGTGGCGGCAGAGGACAAAAAGGAGACGGAGGAGGAGAAGAGAGGCCCATCTCTCTCTCTCTCTTTCTCCTTTCAATCCCCAGTGCACACCCAATGGCGTGGCAGCGAAGAATACACCACAGCCCCGAATTTGTGTGAGAATTGTCAAAAGACAAAAGAGAGAGTTCCGCCTGTTATCCTCCAATAAGCCTTGTCCATCACACAAGGAGAAAGGGCCGGCTAAAGGTTTCCACACAATGGGGAACAAAGTAAGTCCATCTTTTAGGGGCAAATCAGGGCTGGAGGATCCTGGGCCTGTATCAATAAGAAGAAGGAAGAGTGGAAGGTAAACAAGACAGGGATTTACAGCCTTACTGACACAAGGCATTGGGGATAATGCCACACAGACATGCTTATGCGGGGACACACGGACACGAACGCAGGCAGGCACACAGACAGACCAGAAGACAGACAGAGAGTGACAGATGAATGCAGACAGACGCGCGCATCATGAGATTGGCTCCCACACCCATTGCTTTCCGAGCACCAGTGTGTGTTTGTGTGTGTGTGTCTGTGAGTATATTGTGGATATGTTGAGTAGCAACAATGCTAAATAAAGTGATTTAGGCAAGACTACTGCTGTGTTCTATAAATTCCTGTAATTAAAATAAATAAAACATACATTAGTGTACCATCCCTGTCCTACAACATCAACTGGGCCATTTCTTTTTAATGTTTTTTTAATTTAATAACAAGTCTCAAAGAAAAACCTTTTTAAAGGTGAAGAAAAGAAGGGAATAAGGGGAGAAACGGCTGACTGGGGGTAGAGAAAGAGTGGAACACCTGTCTCCAATTACCCAGTGGAAGAAAGAGAGAGAAAGGGAGAGAGAGAGAGAGAGAGAGAGAGAGAGAGAGAGAGAGAGAGGGCAGGCAGCAGGAAAGAGACGTGTTCTAATTAAAAACACTAGTTAAAAACTTCCTGCTTCTGGCCCTGAGACCCTGTGTGTGTGTGTGTGTGTGTGTGTGTGTGAGAACAGACCCCATTCCACCTTTCCCTCTCACTTTCCCTACATAGCCACTCTATCCCTCTCCTTCCTTCCTTTCCCTCGCTCTCCTGTTTTAATCCTCCCTCCATATCACCTTATTTTATTATTCCCTCTCTCCTTTCTTTCCCTCTCTCCTTTCTTTCCCTCCTTCTCGTCAAAGCTCCCTTCACCTAGTTAAGACTTTGCAACTCATTGCAGGTCTTTTCAAAAGTCATGCCGAGCTGCTGAATGGTCAAATATTTCTGCTCAACAGTGTGTGCACCCTGTGTCTCTAGAGACTTCTGTCAGCCATAGGCCTTGTTCCTGTTTGCATGTACACTGAGTGTACAAAACATTAGGAACCTCTGCTCTTTCCATGACATAGACTGACCAGGTGAATTGTGAAAGCAATGATTCCTTATTGATGTCACTTGTTAAATCCACTTCAATCAGTGTAGATGAATGGGAGGAGAGAGGTTAACAGATTTTTAAGTCTTGAGACAATTGAGACATGGATTGTGTATGTGTGCCATTCAGAGGGTGAATGGGCAAGAAAATATTTAAGTGCCTTTGAACGGGGTATGGTAGTAGGTGGTTTGTGTCAAGAACTGCAACGCTGCAGGGTTTTTCATGCTCAACAGTTTTCCATGTGTATCAAGAATGGTGCACCACCCAAAACATATCTAGGGGGGGGGGGTTCAACTCAATATTTAGAAGGTGTTTTTAATGTTTTGTATGTGTGTGTATGCACTGGTGTGAAGTCTGTATGTTGGTGTGTGTGTGTGTGGGAGAGTGACAGACAGCTCTAGGCCCCTCAAGTTGCCCTCCATATGGTGGCCCTCAGGAAACGCCGACTGCTTTAATGATGTCACTGTCTCCCGTCCTGCCCCAACTGACATCCGCACTGCACCCCTTTATAGATAGAGAGATTCACACACACACACACACACACACCCACACACCTTTTATAAAGCGCCAAAGGGGACAAAAGCCTACAGAGGTCCAGAGAGAACAGAGCATATACACATGGCACACACAGACATACCACACTGTTATAGAGAGCCACAGGGATGAGGCCCATGGTTGACGTAGGTCTGGAGTGGGGCAGGGCATACACACAAAAACACTTTTATGGAGCCACTTTCAAGGGTGACCTACAGCTGACGGGACAGATTAAGGTATCTGATCAACGGGGCTAAAGAAAGTGAAGGTGTACACACACCAATGTCACGCACGCACACACACAGACAGACACACACACACACTTCAAATGACTAACACCATACTCATTTAAGGTGTAAAATTGGTAACTATAATTCAAAATTCTGTATGTTCAGTTCAAAGACTATAATGGACTTGATGTTATGTTTTTATTAATAACAGTCTTACAAATGGATTTATACAATTTTCTATCATAATATAATATGACATAGTGCCATGAAAAAGTATTTGCCCCCTTTCTGATTTTCTCTATTTTTGCATGTTATCAGAACTTCAACCAAAACCTAATATTAGATAAAGGGTAACTGAGTTTACAAATAACAACAAAAATGTATACTTATTTAATTTAATTAACAAAGTTATGCAACACCCAATTCCCCTGTGTGAAAAAGTAATTGCCCTCTTACACTCAATAACTGGTTGTTCAAACTTTAGCTGCAATGACTGCAACCAAATGCTTCCTGTAGTTAAGTTTCTCACATCACTGTGGTGATCATTTTGGCCCACTCTTGCATGCAGAACTGCTTTAACTCGGCGACATTTGTAGGTTTTCAAGCATGAACTGCTCGTTTCAAGTCCTGCCACAACATCTCAATTGGGATTAGGTCTGGACTTTGACTAGGCCATTCCAAAACTTCCAATTTGTTGCTTTTTAACCATTTTCATGTAGCCTTGATTGTGTGTTTTGGATCATTGTCTTGCTGCATCACCCAGCTGCGCTTCAGCTTCAGCTCACAGACGGATGGCCTGACATGCTCCTGTAGAATTCTCTGATACAGAGCAGAATTCATGGTTCCTTCTACTAAGGCACATCGTCCAGGTCCTGAGGCAGCAAAGCATCCCCAAACCATCACATTACCACCATCATGCTTGACCGTTGGTATGAGGTTCTTACTGTGGAATGGAGTTTGGTTTTCGCCAGACATAGTGGGACCCATCTCGTCCAAAAAGTTTACTCAAGTTTGCCAGAAAGCACCTGGAAGCACCAGGATGATCATCAAGACTCTTGGAAGAATGTTCTATGGACAGATGAGTCAACTTTTTGGACGACAATTTCCCAGCGCTCGCTCTTTTTTTGTGACAAATGTTTTATTTAGTTTCTTATTTTTTTCAGAGGGGGGGTTACAGGCACAAGAACAATCAAATAAATGCATACAATGATAACACCCTACCCATTACTCCCTCAGACCCCATCCAGCCGCCTGCATCCTACCGCCCCACCCGGAAACCATGAAAACACTATTCACATTTATGACGGATGCATATTTTGCATATATTTACAGATAAAATGACACAAAATCAAAACGACACAAGATATCATAAAAAAACACCGTATTAGTCTGACTATAAGACCTAAGAACCTGTGTGTGGAATAATGTGAATGTACGTCCTTTGAAGACTGAGAAAAATGAATTGGCGCACGGGGAACATGTCATTAAAGATAGGCTAATGCAATTAAAATGTACTTTCTCCATAAATATTACCATTTATGTCACATTAATTAATCTCTAATTCATATATCACTTCTAAACTGACAAATAAACATCAAATATATATTTTACAAATACATTAGCACGTTTAACACATTTGTTTCAAGCAATAAAGCATACGCTTTGAATACTGGTCTGTTGGTCAATTTGTCACATACAAGGCTTTTGTATGGCTGGTGAAATGTGCAGAACATTAATCAGCTATGCCTGCCCCATATGAAAGGCCCTCTGAGTTGTTGCTGGTGCCGCTTTACCTTCTTGACTGTGTTATGGGACCTGCGCCTACACTTGGCACACTCCATTGAAGCCAAGTGCCATCAAAGGATCCATGAATGTATATGATTGCTTCCTCATCCTCCTTCAGCAACTCTGCTATATCTGAGTCTTTATCTGTGTATGCTCTTCTAATTAGCTTTGCAGCACTCTCCATTGGCTGTAGCCCTCTCTGAATCGCTGCAACAAGTACTTATTATGTCTGCCGACATTACAGTTATAACTGCAGGACTAAATATCAGCATGTTATCCTATGTAAATATTAGCATATCAGCATGTATTTACTTTATGTAAAGCTAATTTCTCAGTAATCACAGTAGGCTACAGCCCTATGACACTGTAGGCCTATGTGACAGGAAAACATAACTATACAATGAGACTATCACTCTGTTTATTCACTTTGAATACATTTGCTGGAGCAAGGAAATCAATATTATTTACACACAGCAAGTCACCTGACAATAATGGTCTACTCTCCCTTTTTATTTCCCTGTAAGTCTCCTGTCATGCCTCTGATATGAGCTGAGACGCAAGGAAGGAATCCCTAGGATTTTGCTTATTTTCTTTAGAGCTGCATAACCAAGTCCAAGTTCGTGGGTTAGAAGAACCATCCTCACATTTTTATCAAATGCAACATCTCCCCCCTGGAGGAAGTGTAAACTGTCCTCCTAAATGCATCACGATAACCTTCAGAATTTCAGAATCCCTGGTTGGTGGGGTCTATGGTGATTTTCAGTCCAGTGTTTAGACACTTAGGGCAAATCGAATCATGTACAAGTTTATTTGTGACATGTTGAATAAAAGCCACTGTTGGCTGGCTGGCTGCTGTCTGGTTGATCGCTGCTAGCTGTCATCTTTATCTCAACTAATTTGCGTCTCGACACGCTGCTGCCGGCTTCCTCCTTTTCC